ATGGTATTTCACCATGTTGGCCAGTCTTGAACTCCCGACCTCAGGTGATCCACCCACCTTGACCTCCCAAAGTGCTGAAATTAAAGGCATGAGCCACCACACCCAGCCCCAGAGTACTTTAATCTGTACTATTTCATTGATCACAACAATCCTTTAAGATAGGGCAGGTATTTTTAACGACCATGTATAAATGAGGAAACAGAAACTAAGAGAAATGAGCTGCTAAAGGTCACTCATATAGTGGTGGAGTTAAACTCACTTAATTAAACTCATTAAACTAATTTAATTTCAATCCAGGAATCCAATGTTCGTAGGGTTTGAAAGTAGTAAATACAGAAAATGGCTTTTTCAAACTAAATGTTTGTTCATTCATCCAACAAATTCAAAGTGGATTTGCCACCAAGTCTCCCAAACAGGAATCCCTCAAATCCTATCAGTTGTCAAATTCTACCATCCTCACCTCAGAGATGGCTATTTCTCTTCAAGCTCAAAATCTTGTTCTAAAAACCCCCATCATTTCCTCCATGGCCCCCTCCCCTGTGCCTCGCTGACACCTGCACGGTCCACTTCTGTGTGGGAAGCTCAACATGACCCTAATACTCTGATCTCCGCCAAGTGAACCAGCTGGACAGATGATCCGACCTCATCCAGATGGATTCGCCCTCCCAAAAACTTGGATTTGAGACACGGTGCCTGAATCATACTGCACTGAGTGAGCACTATGTCTGTGGGATTACGGCATGTTATTAAGATGCAGAAATTAGTTTTAGTGAAAATCCTTGTTTGTCGGAAAGAGAATGGGATATACATGTAGAGAGTAGCAGAAAGAAAACATTCAAACCCAAAGGAAAAGCAGAGACATTAACTGCCAGTATTCTTTTCATTTCTGTGAAAGCCAGGGTACAACTTAATTTCATGTGATTCTCCTATTTCTTCACCAAAACACTACCTTTACTATGCCTATGACTACCACCACAACTACCAGCACCACCACTATCCTAACCTCCAGTTTCTGTGAGTTTCTGTGCCATGTGACAAAATGGTCCCTGCTAGCCCTGCTATGACAGGCTCGGGTTGTCTCCCACTGTCCGGTATAAATAAATATCTCCACCAAAAATGTCTAATCATAGTCTACCCTATGAGCAAAAAGTTATCCTCCTGTTATCTGCACTTTTCTGGCTTTTACCACCACTTGCAACTGTAGGACCTCCAAATCTCCACAAAGTCCCTCCCCATGGGGTTGGGCATCCCCATTGAGTTCTATTTTTTAGATGAGGGTACATATACCATAGGAGGTATGTGGTAGCATATTAAGAGATTCATAATGCATTTTCTTGGAAATTCCATTTTAGTTCAAGATTT